GGTGAGACTAATTTACAAATCACTTCCATTCATCTATTCAAATGAAATGAAAGATACTCCAACATTATTGTTGGATCTGACTTAGGTCTCAGGTTTTTGGGTTGTTCATTAAGATAATTTTATCAGTGAAAGTTTATCTAACTTATCTGTCAAGTGTAGTAAATAGATTTATCAAAGGTATGAAGACCAAGATTTTGTGGTATTTTGTATGGTCGCAGTCTCCTTTTGATGTATAGAAGTAGTTTGACCTTGTTTTCACAAATTGATCATATTGCTAGGAAGATCTGAAGAAACACACCTAGTCAGGAGTCCATAGTATGCATGATAATTTCCAGTCAGACCGTAGACGTGGTACATTCCTAGACGTTCCGATGGCATCGTCAGTAAACATTGCCAGTCTTAACATCATATTATAACTCGTTAAAGAGACAAATGAAGCCAATCCTCTGATCAATTGTCTGCTAAGCACTCGTGGAATCTCTCCTTACGCCCTCGTCTAATCCTATGTCTTCGTTTTACCCCTTCACGATTACTATTTTTTACTTGCTTAAGTAAATGTGGCATGGTGTGCCCTTTTGAGCCAATGTCATAGAAACTCCCCACACCCCACGCTGGCTTTATCATCCCCCTTCACCCTTGTGCTAAAAATGTTTATCAGAGTCTGCCATATTGTTCAACAGTCCTCCTCACATAGGTCTTATCAGAGTCTCCTTCTTGCCTCGTAGGATCCGTCTGCTATCTCTCTGGTTCAAATATTTTGCTCGAACCCCTGCCACCCTATCTGTGTAACTCGAGGCGTTATTTCCCACACCCTGCTTCTGTAAGACAGAGCATAGGAAGTCATAGACTTAGTATCACGGATAGAAACAGGATAAACGCGGTGGAGACTAGAGCTAGTTGGCTAAAAGAAGACCTGTTTGACCATAGACGTAGTCCATGAAGCAAAGGTTTGACCATGAGAATTACTCGGGGATTTTACCCTTAAGTTAGTCTCACAGTGGTAAGGTATAGGACATAGCGCCTTGAGTAGCACAGATAGAATGGCAAAGGTCGAGCGAAATAATTGACTAGGGAGATAGCAGATGGATCCTATGGGGCAACAGGGAAGCTCTGATAAGACATATGGAAGGAGGACTGCATAAAAATAGGGCAGACTCTGATCAACATTCCCAGCACAAGAGTGAAGGGCGCTGAGGGGCTGGGAAAACCAACGTGGGATGTGTAGAATTTTCATGAAATCCGCTCAAAAGGGCACACTATGTTCAAATAGGCAACCAAAATTGTGATAATGAAGGCGTAATACAAGGATATTGGATTGGTGATTAAACCAGGGCGAAAGGAGAGATTTCATGTTTGCTTAGTAGACAATTGGTCGAAGGAGCGGCTTCACTTGTTTCTTTGACGAGTTGTAGTATTGTGCTAAGAATGGCGAGACTCACTGACGATGCTGACTACGATGCCGACGAAGCGACTGGGAATGTACCACGTCCATGGTCCGACTATAGAAATTATCATGCATACTATGGACTCTGGACTAGGTGTGTTCCTCCAGCCCTTCATACCAATATGACCAAGTTGCGAAAACAAGGTCAAATAAATTCTATAAAGGGATTTATACAGAGAGACTATGTA